CTATCTATCTATCTATCTATCTATCTATCTATCTATCTATCTATCTACCTACCTACCTACCTACCTACCTACTTTTGTTTTTTGAGACAGGGTTTCTCTGTGTAACAGTCTTAACTGTCCTGGAACTAGTTCTTGTAAACCAGGCTGGCCTCGAACTCACAGAGATCCGCCTACCTCTGCTTCCCAAGTGCTGAGATTAAAGGTGTGTACCACCACTGCCTGACTCTGAGAATGAGTTCCAGGCTGACGTTGACTGTGGAGTGAGACTGTCTGAAAATAAAAACAAACTTATAACTGTGTAGACATTCTTATGAGATTGGGATCTCAAGGCTCAGGTTTTACTTTGAAAGCTTAAGAATGTCCACACTGTACTTCACATGATTGTTACTGTTCTTCTCATGCAGGTTATTAAGTGTGGTATGCTGTGATCTGGATGCTCTTCTCTTATTGGAGGCTCAGTATCAAGTATCCAACATGTTACTACATGCTCAGGAAGAAAATACCTTTGAGACCTCGGAGAACCACAGGTCAGGAAACAGAACAAAAGGTGGCATTAGAGTGATACTATTATCAGTTTGCCTTGCAAATGATTTGAAACTAATTTTCTGTATAATTTTTATATGGTCTGAATTACTACATTCACATGACAGATTAAAAAGCCATTAAGCATAAATGTCCCAGGAAGATAATGATGTATGTTTTTGGCGAGTGCTACATTTATCGTTTGTTCCTTTTGTCTTAGGACTTTTTTTTTTAGTTTTTACAAAGTCATTCCGATTTTAAATTCACATCACTTCATACAGTAACCCTTTGAGTAAAAATGCTTGGTTTTACATCTCTCTTAGAGCCATTCTGTCCCCAGTTTCCTAATTATGTCAGCTTATAGTCATGCAGTATAATTATTTGCCAAGTGAGGTTTTTATCATTTTTATTTTCCTACTAATAAATCACAGTTGCCATTACCTCAGTTTGGCTGACATTTATAGAATACACATTCCACATCTGCCATTGCTCTTCGTGTCTGTAATTCAGAACATGGTAGTCCACCTCCTTCCTCCCAGGCCATTTCGTTTGATGTTGAGATTTGGTATAGAAGGAAAAGAGCAGCATTAGAAACGAAACTGCTGTGGACTTGGGCCCTTACCCTAGATCATAGAGAAGCCTGTGTTGTCCTAGTTACAATCTTAGTCTTCAGTGACTGAGCCACCTCTCCAGTCTAGCAGGAGCTTTCCTAAAGATGGTTACGTTACTTCAGAAATAAGCTATGTCCTAATCTCGTTTTTATAAGCATAGGATTATTCATTAAGGAAATACCCTTTGTCTTAGAATTTTTTTGAAGCAATGAAAATTGACGATATAAAAAAAGGACTGGTGCCCTCTGTATTGTAAATATTCTGATGACCAGTGTGTTTTGCAGATACCTTTTGTTTCTGTTTGTTGTCTTTTTTTTCTCTTTGTAACCTAGTGACATGATTTAAAAATCAAACCGTATTCAATTAAGGAGACAGCAAAATTGATGCATATTCTCTTTCAGGGACTTTATAATTGATGGTTTGTCAGTCGAGAGAAATCATGTTCTTGTAAGGATTAATCTCATTGGTGGACCCTTGGAGCGGATTCTACCTCCAAGGATGCTTGAGAAGGTGCGTGCAATGTTTTGACATGTTTTAAAGTGAGATATACACCTGAAGTGGCACTAAACAACATTTTCCAAGTGTCTACATACCAGCGATCGATTTTTGTTGCTTGACAAGCTTACAAAACAGGTGAAAATATTCAAAATGAAATAGTAGTGATGTCTTCAAGAGCTCATGAGTTGCTGTTGAGTGTCCAGGAGCAGAAGATTATTGTTTTAACACAGACTTGTCACTCTGCTGAGTTTCCTTGAGTATTTGAGTTCTGAAGTCTTTCTCCTTCCTGACCCTTCACTGTTGCATTATTTATGCCTTGCAGTATGGAGTATGTGGGCCTTTATGGAGTGTAGCTGTTAAGAACTTCCTTTCTGTTACTGCCACCCTGGAAAAGAGGAGAGAGAAATGATTGGCAGAAGAAAAATAGTTCTGGGGTGGGGGGGATGCCTTTTGAAGATTACATTTTCCCTTTCATGAAAAAGGTAAATCCGTCATTATCAGTTCAAATCACAAGAGGAAGTTATCATAGTCCAACTTGTTTAAAATTTTTATTACTTTTGCGTATCGCCTTTTAGGAATAGTGGATTATAGTAGCAAATAACTTGATAATTGGACAAAAAAAGTATGAACAAAAATGTCAATTTAAATGAACAATATTCCAGAAAGTATGGAAGTTCAGTATCTTAACCCTCCTCCTAAAGTTTCCTGTGTTGTTGTGTTTTTAGGGGGATGACCCATATCCTTGGCCAATGTTTTCATCGTATCCGTTGCCACACTGCTATCTGTCAGCAGTTTCAAGAAGTGCTGATATGAAGCAAGGTAAATCTTTTCTACCAAACGATATTCCAGTGTTCTCTTTATAATTTCAGAAGTAGACTGTAAGGACAGTAAGTGTGGATTTTCAGCATGTGTGGAAGACAACATCTCTGCCCATTCCCTCTTAGTGTTTACATTACCTCCTGTTGTTTGTTTAATTAGTATCTGTATGATGGTAAACAAGTATTACTTGCAGCAAAGGTCTTGCAGTCTGTTCAGTGGCAATAGATGTTTTATTTAAGCCTGAATTAGTAGTGATTGCAGTGATGGCTCAGAAGTTAAGAGCATTTGTCGGTCTTCCAGCACCCACAGGGTGGTTCACAACCATCTGTAACTTCAGGTCTATGGTCTCTGGCTCCCACTGCTGCCTTCCAGGGCATTTGACACACTTTTCATAAAGTTTAGAAGTCAATTCTCACATCACCATCCTGTCCTTTATAATCCCTTCAAGCTTCCATTGGAAAGAAATCATGTGTAAGAGATTGATTTCACAGTCACTTAATGCACTTTAAAATTTGGGCTTTGGTGTTCCATTTTTGCATGACTAAATCTATCACTTTCTCAGAGACTTGGGAGTAGTATTATATCTTTTTCAGGAAGAGGTTTTTTCAGGGGTGCCCTGTGGATGTTTTCATACTTCTCCCATCCTGCAGTGAACCCAGACCACTTTCAAGTGTTGCTCTCATCTTCCTACTCGGCTGCGAGTCTTTCTATCAGACTGTTTGTACTGTGTCTTCCATCTTTTAGGTTTCAACATTTGTTACCCTGCTTGCTTGTTTCCCTAATGTATGTTTCATGAGTACTGAGTGCAAGGAGCTTACCTGGGAACTATAAATGACATCAATTATAAATAATGCAGCAATATCTGTATTTTTCTTTTCAGTACCTCAACCATGTCTTGGTTAGTTTTCCTTGACATATTCAACACTGTTTCCTTTGCTAAGTTTTATTTGGAGAAAGCATTTCTTTACAATGTTTCTGAATAATGAAGTCATTGTCAGTCTTATTAGCTGATTTCTACTTTTATTAATTTGTTTCTTCAAAATATTTTGGAAACCTGAACAAGGGAAATGAAAATAGAAATTGTAGTATGAATGGATATTTCCCAAGAATAAAAATATCCTCCTGTTGTTGAATACTATTTTAAGATGTATTACTTTTGTTTATGCTCTGGAACACTTGTTTAGTGATGCAAAGATGTGTTTGATTAAATAAAATTCATGTGCGGTCCAGAGGCTGAGGCAGTGACTAGCTGACGGGAAGTTGTAGTTGCCAGGTGGAGAAGGGTTTATAAGGAGGGGCAAGCAAAGCACAAGGACTTCTTGGGAGATACAAGGAGGTGAGCTGCTTGCTATTCCGCCTCTCTGGAAAGCAGGATTCTACCTCAACCATTAAATCTTGAGTTCTCTAGCGGGACAGAGATCTGGATAAATTCTCTTAGTAGCTTTGGAAGAGTTGGTGCCTTAGGGAACAGAATTTCCTCGGGCTGTGGCTCTTGCGGCCTAGCAGCGGTTGGTAATGGCAGAGTTGCAGTTGCTGAGTAGCATAGCCGTAGCTTAACAGGCAGCAACCATTAAAGAAGAGGACAGCGTCCATCAGTTCCTGTAACTGGTCCTCATGGAAGTGTGTTTCCTGTACAAGAGTAACGAGGGATTCCTGTTCTGTCCCAAAGGTGCCGGGCTGTGGTGGGGTGTTTCCAGGTCAGCTTACTTTCCTCTTCTTTTAGAAGAATTTTCTCCAAACTCTTCTCTCCTTGAACCTTCCCATTTGCCGTCCTTCCTCAGATAGTCACCACACTTCTTCCTTCGCTGTAATAGGAATGATAGAGAGCATCTATGTGGCACTATTGCGTATCAGCTCCTTGGACTGACCGTGTGCCCGTTCAGGCCTCCGGTCAGGACTGTGAAGGAACTGCCTTTGCTCATTTGCAGAAGTCAATTCCACCTGCTCCTTGCTTCCTCGCTGCTTCCTCTCAGCGATAGTGATAGTTCTTCGTTTTCTCTCCTTTTAAGATCTATATCCTGTGAACCTACAGTGCATACATAATTTCCTGAGCCAATTCTTATGACAAATTTTGTGTGTGTGTGTGCGCACGTGCGTGCGTGTGTGATGTTGAGTAAAATAAGCCAGATAAGGAAAGATAAATATACACACAATACACATATGTGTGAATCTATTCTATTTTTCGGGAGGACCCTATGATGGCTTTCAACATCCATAACATAGTTAGATGGAATTCACCCTCCAGCCTTCATCAGTGTGCTCCTATAATTGCCACAGGTTTTTATAAATGTGTATTAATTGTACAATATAATCACTTTCATTAGGACATATTCATAAATACCTATTATGTGCTGTGATAGTTTTCATCCCTCCCCTTGCTTTCTCTTATCGCCCTCTCCCATTCTGGTCTCCTTCCTCTTCCAAGTAGCTTTCTCTTTACATTCTTGTCTTTTTTTTTTTTTAAAAAAAAAACCTAAATTCTATATAAGATAAAACGAGATACTTTCTTTTTTTGTCTGGTGTATTTTACTGTGATGATCTCCTCTTCTAGGTAAATGACCTAGTTTTGTTTCTCTTTGTGGTTAAGTAAAACGTCATTGTGTATATATTCTCTATTGGTGGGTATGTATGTTCTCTGTCTTGTCTTCTGTGAATATTGCTGTGGTAAAAATGGATGTACAGTATCTAAGTCAGTAGTAAAAGTACTTAGAGTCTTGTAGATCTATAACTCAGAAATGGTATAGCTGGATCATATGGTAGTTATGTTTGTAGCATTTAGAGGCACCTCCATACTGATTTCTATAGTGTCTGTACCAGTTTACATTTCCATTGAAAGTGTTTAAGAGTTCTAAACACTCCCAGTTCTAGGTATTACGAGCTGACTAGCAGTAATGGGGGTTGGCTAGGAGACAGGGTGCTAAAAGGTTCTGTAGGATGGTGGCATATTGGGGCTGCCAGGACAATCTTTGGAGTCCACAGGGAGTGGGGAAAGAGAGGCAATGCAGGACACAGCAGATGCTCTGCTGCAGGGCTGGCAATGCAGGACACTGCAGGTGCTCTGCTGCAGGGCTGGCAATGCAGGACACCGTGGGTGCTCTGCTGCAGGGCTGGCAATGGAGACACAGCGGGTGCTCTGCTGCAGGGCTGGCAATGCAGGACACAGCAGGTGCTCTGCTGCAGGGCTGACAATGCAGGACACCACGGGTGCTCTGCTGCAGGGCTGGCAATGCAGGACACTGCGGGTGCTCTGCTGTAGGGCTGGCAATGCAGGACACCAACAGTGCACAGCTGCAGGGCTAGCAATGCAGGATACCGCTGGTGCCCTGCTGCAGGGCTGGGGTGACAGTGATAAGGGGAAATTGGAATTGACGATAGGTGTGAGAGTGAATATTGCTAGTGTGATTCCCTGGTCTTCATGGCCGGCGGATTTCCAGGGAGAGACTGTTGGCAGGTGAGACAAATTTGCAGAATGGGAAGATTTGTGGGACAAAAGAGAGGCTGTGGAAGATGGTCTGTTTAGTCCCTTTGGAATGGGGCAGAGAGGGCAGAGAGTGCAGCAGGTGATCTGCTACCCAGCTGGGGATAAGACTGGGGTATTGGAATTGAAGGATGGGAGTTAGGGGAATGTAAGCTGTAGTGGCCGTGGTTTCCAGGGACACACCTCAGCTACTGATTTTCAAGCCACAGACAGATGTCTTGAGTTTTGCTACAACTGAAATTTTGTATCTTTTGACCCTTGTCCTCTAACCCCCTATAACCATTATTCACCAGTTTGCATCTAAGAGTTCAAAATTTTTAAATTTTACAAATAAGTGAGGTCAGGCAGTATCTGTCTTTCCTTGCCTGGATTACTTTACAAACATAAAGTCCCAGAGGTTGACCCATGTTGTCACAGTGGTAGAACTTGAGCGTTTTTTTTTTTTTAAAGCCTACACCCCCATAAGCCAAAAGGAATACTGCTTATATGTTTGTTTTTCTGTCTGTCTTCTATCTATCTAAACGTGTGTGTGTGTGTGTGTGTGCTCCTATTCTAGTGTATTCCTTTGTATATGTATATGTTTGCATGGGAGGGGTGAGGGGCAGGGTCTCAATGACCTGGAACTTGCCAAGGAGCTTACACTGCCTGGCCTAAAAGCTCCAGGCATCCCGCTGACTTTGCTTTCTAGATGCTGGAATTACAAGCCTGCCACCATGCCCAGCTTTTTGATGTGGATTCTGCAGATTGCACTCAGGTCTTTGGGCTGGCAAGGCAAGCACTTTACTGACTGAGCTATTTCCCAAGCCCCAACTCTCCCATTCGTACATTTGAAATCCCATTTCCATCCTTCATTTTCTATACCCTGTGCTGTTTCTGCTGGATGCAGCTGTGGACTGACCATCACGCTCCCTCCCTAGCACTCCGTCTCAGTGTCAGCCTCAGCATAATCCTCCTGTTTGACACTGGAAACCCTGCTCTCTCCCTTCTTCTTCTTCCAGTACTCCCCCCGACACACACTCTGCTGCCCTTTCTTCTTTCGAAACATTTACTTAACTTGTCTTCTGGAAAATTTATCTGTTCAGTTTTCCTCCTGAATTTCTGGCAAATATGTCTTTATATCTTTTTTTTTTAACTTTATCTTTCTCATCTCCTAAACTCTTAAACTTTTCTGTGGACTGGACTCACTTAGTAGGCTTCATGTTTACTGGCCATTTTTCTGTCATGCGGTTCTTACTTTGTCTTGTCACCGAGGTCCTGTCCAGTATGCCAGTGACTGTCAGATTGACATCTCTGGCTCTTATCTCTACTTTGAGTTTTGGGCTCCTGTGTCTGTTTTTGTGACATCTCTCCGGGAAGGTTGGTAAGCGCGCCAGACTTAACATGACTACGATCAATTCCTGACACTCTCTTAAAATCCGTTCCTTTGATATTCTTCCCTATGTCAGAAATGGCAACTTTTGTGCCTCCATTTCTTCAGGCAATAAGCCTAAAGGGTATTTTGAAGTTTTTCCTTCCTTTAAGT